GGGGAGACGCCAATGCTGCCGTCTGGTCCAGAATTATTGGATGAATTTCAGTTATTGCGGCCCGATGATGTGGACAAGGTGCTTGGACGAGTACGTCCCACCACTTGCCTATTGGACCCTTGCCATCTTGGTTAATAAATAATTCCAAGCACGGGATTGGGACCTGGATCTTGGAAGTGGTTAACGCTTCTCTGAGGGAGGATCGGGTGCCTGCCCCTTTAAAGGAGGCGGTAGTCCGACCGGTCCTGAAGAAAGCGTCACTGGATCCAGAGATGGCCACTAACTATAGACCAGTGGCCAACATCCCGTTTCTGGGAAAGGTGTTGGAGTGGGTGGTGGCGGGACAACTCTAAGCACTCTTCGATGAAACTGATTATCTGGACCCATTTCAGTCCGGCTTCAGACCCGGGTACGGTACTGCATCTGCCTTGGTCGCCCTGTACAATGACCTGTGCAGGGAGAAGGACAGGGGGAGTGCGTCCCTGTTGGTTTTTCTGGACCTCTCAGCGGCTTTCGATACCATCGACCATGGTGTCCTTCTGGATAGGCTAGTGGGATTGGGGGTTGGAGGCACTGCTTTGCAGTGGTTCCCCTCCTATCTCAACGGCAGATTCCAGAAGGTGGTGCTGGGGGACTATGGCTTTGTGCCATGACAGCTATGCCATGGAGTACCACAGGACTCCATTTTGTCCCCTTTGCTGTTTAACATCTATATGAAACCGCTGGGAGAGGTCATCAGGAGGTGTGGGGTACGGAATCATCAGTAGGCTGATGATACCCAGCTCTACCTCTCATTTTCCACTAATCCAGGTGAGGCAGTGGCTGTGCTGAACTGGTGCTTGGCCGAGGTAATGGGCTGGATGAGAGCCAATAAACTGAAGCTCAATCCAGACAAAACGGAGGTCCTGTTGGTTGGTGGATTGGGCTTCGGAGAGGGTGGATTTGACCTGGCCCTGAATGGGGTTGTACTCCCTCTTAGGGACAAGGCCCGCAGCTTAGGAGTACTCCTCGACCCGGAGCTTTCATTGGAAGCTCAGGTGACAGCGGTGGCGAGGAGCGCTTTCCTTCAGCTTCGGCTGATTAATCAGCTGCGCCCCTACCTGGAGTACGACTGCCTGGCGACGGTGACACACGCGCTGGTGACTTCCCGCCTTGACTTCTGTAACGCTCTTTATGTGGGGCTTCCCTTGAAGACGGTCCGGATACTTCAGTTGGTTCAAAATAGAGCTGCCACGTTGCTGACGGGGACAGGGCGTTATGTTCACATGACTCCAGTCCTCCGACAGCTTCACTGGCTTCCCATTGAAGTCCGGGCCCAATTCAAGGTGTTGGTTATGACCTATAAAGCCCTAAACGGCCTGGGACCTGGTTACCTGAAGGAGCGCTTACATCCATATATGCCCGGCCGCCCCTTGAGATCTGCGGGAGAGGCCCTTCTCCGGGAACCCTCCGTGAAAGAAATTAGGAGGGTAGGTACTCGGAGGAGGGCTTTCTCTGTGGTGGCGCCCAATCTATGGAATGTGCTCCCCAGAGAGGTCCGCCTGGCGCCGTCGTTATTTGTTTTTCGTGGCCAGGTAAAGACCTTTTTATTTAAACATCATTTTAATTGTTAACAATATCTACTTATTTAGCTGGCCAGGGCGACTTCTTTTCTTTTCTAACTTTTCTAACTCCTTTTATATCGTTTATATTTTTTATTTATTTTATATTATTAATTTTAATTTTATATTGTTATTTTTGTATTGTATTGTATTTTATTGTGTTGTAAGCCGCCCCGAGGCTTTGGCAAGGGGCGGCATAGAAATGTTCTAATAATAATAATAATAATAATAATAGGTACCATGAAAGGGAGAAAATATTTCTGCTAAGGTCTTTATAACACAGTCTTTCCATTTCCCTCTGAATCTAAAGATGCTTTTCTTTCTCAATCCACAGTTACACATTAATTGGCCCTGAAACTGTGGAATGTTTGGCAAGTGGCAAATGGAACCTGGACCACCAACAGTGTGTGGCTGTTTCCTGTGATGAACCACCCCCCGTGGATCATGCTTCTCCGGAGAGTGGCCATCGGCTGTTTGGCGATGTCGCGATCTACTACTGCTCCGATGGGTACAGCTTAGCAGGCAATGCCCAGTTACTCTGTAATGCTCAGGGGAAGTGGGTGCCCCCTGCTGGCACAGTTATTCCAGAGTGTGTAGCTGACTTCTGTGAAAGACCACTCTCCGTGTCATACAGCATTCTGGAATCCTCAAACAAGGCCAAGTTTGCCGCCGGGTCAACTGTGAGCTTCAAGTGCATGGAGGGCTTTGTCTTAAATACTTCTGCTAAGATTGAGTGTGTGCGGGGAGGCCAGTGGAACCCTTCCCCATTGACCATCCAGTGCATTCCTGTTCGCTGCGGAGAGCCAGCAAGCATTGCAAATGGCTATGCGATTGGCACGAATTACAGTTTTGGGGCAATCGTAGCTTACAGCTGCACTCGGGGATACTATATCAAAGGAGAAAAGAAGAGGACGTGCGAAGCAACAGGAACTTGGAGTGGGACTATGCCTGCTTGTCACCCGGTGTCCTGTGGAGAGCCACCTAAACTTGCACATGGAGAAATCGAGGTACTGCTAAATCCGCATTAATGATATTTGTGCATTCAAAGGTTTCAGGGTATTTAAGTCTAAACAAATGAGTAATAATTGAAAGCAGAATAGATGATGTAATTACAAGAAACTTACAAGAAATCAGATGTGTGTAACTTCATGTAAGTGCACCACTTTTAAGGTAGACCCTTCCAAACCCAGAAAATGCATCACCAGCTGAGATGTCAAATGCTTTTCTTGTACAGATGGTGGGCTACTTTACCTTGTTATTCCATAATATACAGTATCTAATACCATGGGAAGTTTTCATTTATCAGCCATAAAGGCACTATGAGAGGGAACTGAAACAGCTCAAATTCATGCACTTTAAATCTACATTTTGTTTATAATGTTGTTTTTCAGTATTTAGATAATGGTGTTTTCTGTTCATCTAGTCCTGTAAAGCTGACCTGTGAACTACCATGTCTCATAAGATGGATGAAGAAAGCCTGGATTCTGTAGACTCTTTAAATGTTTCAGTGGGAAATATTTTAGCAATTGTTCGTGCAATGAAGCCCTTAAAGTTTTAGCACTGTGAAAAACATCACTGCTTGTCTTCTCAGACTGAGAGGCTGCATGAGTCATAACATTTGCTCTGGTCCATTTTGCAGAACATAACAGGACGTTTCTTTGGAAGTGAAGTGAAATACCAGTGCCATCCTGGTTACCAGATGATAGGAAGCCCAGCATTATTTTGCCAAGCCAATCGTCAATGGCACGGTGAAGCGCCTCCTTCCTGCAAGCCCCTCAATTGTGGGAAGCCACCTCCTCTCCGTCATGGATTCAGCAAAGGAGAAAGCTTTGAGGTGGGAGCCAACATCAAGTTTTTTTGTGATGAAGGCTATGAGCTACTAGGAGATGCCTCTTGGACCTGTCAGAAGACTGGGATGTGGAACAAAAAGCAGAACCCCAGATGTGTCCCAACCAAGTGTCCAGAGCCGCCACTCATTGAGAATCAGCTTGTCCTGAAAGAGAAGGCAGATCAAGTAGGGGTGGTGCAGTTTTCGTGCAAAGAAGGCTTTGTTCTGAATGGTGCCTCTGTACTCAAATGTTTGTCAACACAGAGGTGGAATGATTCTTTCCCCGTCTGCCAAGTGGTGCAGTGCCGTAGGCCTCCGTATATTCCTTTTGGGGACCCCGTGGGGTCTTCTCTTCATTTTGGGAGCACAGTGAGCTATACGTGCATGGATGGTTTTTTCCTGAAGGGCATTTCCACTATTCATTGCCAAGCAGATGGTGCATGGAGCTTACCCCTTCCAGAATGCATTCCAGTGGAGTGCCCGCAGCCGGAGGAAATTCAGAATGGTATTGTGGATGTACAAGGCCTTACCTATCTCAGCACTGCTGTATATAACTGTAAGCCAGGCTTTGAGCTAGTGGGCAACATAACCATTCTTTGTGGAGAGGATGGTCACTGGCTTGGACGAAAGCCTTCTTGCCACCCTATTGAGTGCTCCAAGCCCAAGGAGATCCAGAATGGCCACTATTCCTATGCGGACCTACACTACAGGCAAACAGTTACCTACTCCTGTGACAGAGGATTCCAGCTTGAAGGCCAGAGTGCTCTGAGTTGCCTGGAAACAAGGGAGTGGAGTGCAGACGCTCCGTCTTGCAGAGCTATCAGCTGTGACCCTCCACAGCCGATAGAGAATGGTTTTGTGGAAGGGGCCGATTACAGCTATGGTGCCATGGTGATTTACAGCTGTATTCCGGGATTCCAGCTCTCTGGCCTTGCTATGCAGACCTGTGAGGAATCCGGGTGGTCTAGTGTTAGTCCAGTGTGCCTTCCAACAGACTGTGGCCTTCCTCCCCATATAGACTTCGGGGGATATGTAACAATTAGCAGTGAAGAAAAACATTTTGTCCAAGAAGGAATGCTAGAAGAGGGATTCCACACGGCCAGCCCATCTCTTTTCTCTCTCACAGGTGGTAACCAGAAAGATACACAAAGTTCTTCAAAGACCATTAATACTTTGCCATTGTCGGGCTACCTATATGGGACAACAATTTCATATACTTGCTACCCTGGCTATGAACTCTTAGGAAATTCTTTTCTAGCTTGCCAAGAGGATGGCATGTGGAATGGTAGTGCTCCGGTCTGTATTTCTGTTCAGTGTGAATTAGTACTGGCTCCAGAAAACGGTTTTGTCCATTTTACAGAGAATACCCTTGGTAGTACAGTTAAGTATACCTGTAAGCCAGGATATGCGCTGATTGGCTTGGAGACAAGGCACTGTTTATCCAGCAGGCAGTGGAGTGATGTAGCACCAACCTGTGAGGTCATCTCATGTGCGGTGCCTCACAGGCCCTTGAATGGCACAGTAAAAGGGGAAACATACACTTACGGGAGCACAGTCCAGTATGATTGTTATCCTGGGTTTCAGTTAAATGGTCCCGATAGGAGAACATGCCAGGCTGATCAACAATGGGATGGGAATGAGCCCATCTGCATTCCCGTTTCCTGTGGCCAAGTCCCCAAATTAGAGAATGGCCAGGTGACTGGAGAGGAATACACCTTCCAGAAAACTGTTGAGTACAGCTGCAGTGAAGGCTTTGTGCTGGATGGATACCAGAAGAGAGTCTGCCTGGCGGATGGAAGCTGGAGTGGGGGCCCTCCTGTGTGCAGAACAGTCCAGTGTACCATCCCACAGACGCTTCCCCATGGGAAATTCAGTGGCTCAGAATTTGGTTATGGGCAGCGGATTGAGTATCATTGCGATGAAGGCTATATATTGCATGGTGCATCTTTACGAATCTGTCAGGCTTCCGGTACCTGGGATAAAGAGGCTCCGTTCTGTGAGCCCGTAAACTGTGGGCCTCCTGAGGACATTGCTCATGGATTCTTGAATGGTTCAGTCTTCAGATATGGGGAATATATTGAGTACATCTGCTTTCCTGGTTATGAGTTACAGGGAAATCCAGTGAGGCAGTGTACGTCAAACGGATCTTGGAGTGGACAGCCCGCTTCTTGCCTCCCTTGTGAATGTTCCATACCAACAATACAGAATGGAGTAATCAAAGGCGACAATTTTGGCTGTGGTAAGACAGTAGAATTTCAGTGCTTAGAAGGTTTCAGACTGCTGGGTTCTTCAAAAATCACATGCGAAGCCGCCGGCAGATGGAGCTCTGGCTTTCCCCACTGTGGACTGATTTCATGTGGCCCTCCACCCACCATTCCTAATGCATTCATTAATGGTAGCAGCTCTGTGGATCACAATACCATAATTTATAACTGTGAGATGGGCTATGTGATGCAAGGGAGCTCGGAATTGACATGCACAGAAGCAGGAGTCTGGAGGGAGCCATATCCAAGCTGCATTTTACTGACCTGCGGGCCACCACCTCCCGTGCCTCATGCAGTTGCTTTTGGACAGTCACAGGCCTATGGGAGTAAAGTCCAGTACAGGTAAGAAGAGTTTATATGGCTAGTACAGGTGTCTCAAACTCAACTTACCTGGGGGCCGCTGGAAGTAGAGTCTGGGTGAGGCTGGGCCGCATCAAGTATTCCACCACTGCGGTGGTGGTGGGCCGCTCATCCCGCGTGGCTCCCGGAGGCACTTTGAAGGCCGCAGGGCCCCTCCCCATGCCCTGCCCGTCCCGGCAAGTGGCCCACGGGCCACGAGTTTGAGACCCCTGGGCTAGTATCTCATACATGGGAATCTGAGGCTGCAGTCCTATACACATTTATTTGAGAGTAAGCTTCATTTTACTCAACAGGGCTTAGACATGCGTATGACTGCTCACTCAGGGTGACTACATACATATGCTTTGTAAGAGCTTTGCAAACATCAGCATTTTTCCTGACCTGCACAGATTCCAGAATGAGGTGACAGAGTAATATGTACTAGCTTAAACCTGCAGATGGGGGATTCTATTGTTCAGTTATTCTGTATATATAAATCTGCATGCAAGAAAAAATTGAGTTTTTGTTTTTGTGGAGGGGGAGCAAACATTCACATGTAGAATCTCTACCCATGGTCTGATTTGGTACATAATGCTAGAATCTCGAATCACCCCATGATTGGTTGTAGATTCAAGATGGATAAAAGGAAGCACTACTTCACAGAGTGCATAACTAAACTTTGGAATTCACTGCCATAGGAAGCACTTATGGCCACCAATTTGGATGCTTTAAAAGGGGATTAGACAAACTCATAGGGAAGGAGGCTTATCAATGGTCACTACCTTTGCTGACTGTGTACTACCTCCTTCATCAGAGGTAGGACTGTGTACGCCACTTGCTGAAGAACTTGGGTGGACAGAACTCTTGCAGTTAGCCTGACTGAGGGATTCTGTGAGCAGCTGTTTTGCCACCATGTAAATGGAGCGCTGTACTGGATGGACCATTGAACAAATCCAGCTTGGCTTTTCTTATATTCTAACATGTCTAGGAAAAAATATTTCTGTGTTTCCCTCAAGTCCTAAAGTGTTTGTGAAAACTGAGGTCTTACTTGAAAGACTAAGCTATGTTTTATGAAAATGGGAACAAATTCTGTTCCCTTCTTATGTTGCACATTGGCTTTGGCATGAAGGCCCTTACTTGTCTTGAGCCAGATTTTCACTTCCATTTAAATGAGGGAACTCTGGCTGAGTGGTGTTCAAGAAACAAAGTGAGCCAGGATCTTCATGCATGAGATGGAAAGGGGCAGAGGATGGATGTCCTCAGCTCTAACACTTGTTCATCTGAACCAGACAATGAGCTAGAGATGACTCTTGAACCTTGTAATGTAACCTTTGATTAAGCTGTAGGCTGTTCAGTTTCAGAAGCCTCTTGGAGCTTGGTTGCAAAATATCAGAAACACAGCGGTTTCCCTTTTCCCTAATTTTGGAAGGATCATTGACCTTGTCCTTATGTTTTTGGAGCCTCAAAACCCCTTTGGGGGCAATTTGCTCTGATTAGTACCCAGGATGTGGGAAGAGGTCAAAAGAAAACAAAATATTAAATAAATCAAACTCAGTGCAAACATTAGAATTTAGTTTAGATCTCTCGGGATTCTCCACCACCCAATTTCTCTAAAAGGGCTCATAATTAGTATTTCATTTCTGAATCAAACTGAGGGGGCTTTGCCTTTCTCTTCTCAGAATTCTACACAGGACCTATTGGTGATAACAGGGATCTACCTTGTATGTTGCAGGTGTCTGGAGGGTTACGTAATGGAAACAGAAATGGATACATGCACTTGTCAGGAAGATGGACACTGGTCCCCTAATAGTATTTCTTGTTGCCCCAGAAAATGCTCCCTGCCAACAAATATAACCAATATAATTATTTCTGGCACTGAATTCACTGTGAATACGACCATTGTCTTATCATGCGCAGAAGGCTATCATTTGATTGGGACAAGCACTTCCACATGCCAGGTAGTTTTCCTTGGTACTCTCTTTTTCAGCTGTAAAGATGTCTGCCTTTTATATTTGTATGCCTGTACCAACTGATGCCCTTTGTTTGCTTTGAAGTCATTATTTGCTCTGGTTATACCTGGTCTTCTGCCAAAGTGGTTAAGAGCATGGAAGTAATCCAGGTTCTAGTCACTGCCCGGCCATGGAGCCAACTAGGTGACTTTGGGCCAGTCACAGACTTTCAGCCCAGCCTACCTTACAGGGTTGTTGTTCTGGGGATAAGACTGAGAGCAGGAAGAGGAGAATGATGTAAGCTGCTTTGAGTTCTTTAAAAGAAAAAAAAACCACAGGATATAAATCTAATAAATAAAATAAATGAATGAAGTTTAAAATATTTCTCCCCTCTAATCTGTAAGATGGGAATCACATTGCCCAAAGCACTGCATTACATTCTCAGATGCTTTTGAAATTAACTGTTTGAATAGCAGCTTTCAGTAAGCCATGTTTTATATATGTCATATGAAATATATTCTTCTTATATATAAAATATAAGAAATATATTATAAAACAAGTTTGCTGTCCCTAATAGTTTTTTTATATTTTATATAATTCTTTTTGTTGCTTTTACACTGCTTGGCAAGCCCTGAATATACTTTCTGCCTCTTTTTAGAATAATGGTAAATGGTTGCCATTGTTTTCGAACGATATTTGTGCACCAGAGTCTTGTGGAAATCCTCAAGCTCCAAACCATGGAACTGTGGTTGGCAACACATACAGTTACAAAGACACCATTCTTTATAAGTGTGACTCTGGTTATGAGTTGAAAGTAAGTTGATGAAATTTTCTGTGGTTATCCAAACAGTATTATTAAATCTAATTTTTATTACATTAGAGATAGACTAATACTTTCAATAACAATTGTTTCCATGGAGACTTGGAGCATCAAAGGCTTCTCTGAAGTGAGGACTCGGAGGATGAAGCCAAGAGATTTTGGATATTCAGTACCATCTAAATACCTGGTCCTAAACATTTTGTCTGGAAGCAGCTGTAAAATCCAGGAGGCATGTTTCAAGAAATATGTAGAAAACAACCAGTATACCAGAAGTGCACAAAGATGTAGGCTTATATTTTTTGCAGGTATTCTGCTGTTTAATCTAGAAAATAGGGGAAGATTAATCTCATTGCAAGGTGGAAATCATGCCATTACTGCCACCTATAGGCAGCTTGACTTTTTGCTCTAAAAGAAGAAATCTTTATACATGGATGAGAGGGAAGTAGTCAATATACAAAAATGAGGCTGCAAGTAAAATCTATCCTTAAAACAAATTTATTGAAGCAGCTATGTCTTCGTTTTCTGTTAAAAGGCAAGGAACAAACAAGCTGGGCAGCATTTATTAAATTAATGCTATTTAATATATAAAGCATCAGAAAAAGAAAAGTCAGACAAATGTGGAAGGCTAAGTAACTCATAGAAAAGTTAAAATGTTGCCCTCCCCCATGTGTTTCTAAATTATATAGAAATTACAGCAAACACAGATCTGATTTCCTTGGCTTTTCCAAAGGGGCAGGAATATAACAAAATGATGTATATTTTCTGCTATTTTATGAATCTTTCTGTCGTCTGGCAGGGTGATGCAGAACGCATCTGTCAAGCAGATAAACAATGGAGTGGAGCATCACCCGTGTGCAAAAGTAAGTTATGCATTAATCTTATTGCTTATCAAACTTAGTTTGAACATGCTTTTTAAAAGGAGAATAATAAGCACATATCACACTGCTTTTGCCTGGGGAAGCCAAGCATCTTCTAAAAACATTTAAATGTAATTTATATCTAAGAGAGCAGGATATATAACAGTGGACTTTGGCACCTACCTTTAGATATTGTAAGAAAAGTTCCATTTTAAATTTCAGACCATAGAAACCATTAGATTCTCAATCAAACATCCAGCAATTTCTTGGGAGTTGTATAGGGTATATGTAACTCCACTCAAAATGCACACACACAAAACTCCCCTTGCTACTCTTATATTGCCCCCAAATTCGAGGAGACAAAACCACCCAGGGCTCTAGATCAGGGTGTCTTCTTTTAAAAACATTATGTCAGCCTTCTCATTCTATTTTTCCAAATTGCATAACTTCCTTGTAGTTGCCAATGACTATTAACGTTTGTTTACTTTCCTCCTACCTAAGTCTCGGGCAAGGCTGTCTTCAAGCACATCAATATAAGGCTTAATTACTTAACCTGTAATACATCCCTTGTTCTTAGGATATTATTGAACCATCTTCATCCACTAGCCCATCAATGAGGAAGCTATTTTATCCCAAGTGCAGAATTCAGTTTCGGAGAAAAGCTTTTGGGTATGTTCCACGGTGTGCAGGGATAAGAATGAAAAACACCAACGTCTTTTTGCATAAAGCTTAGTTACTATCAGTAACTAAGCCTTGGGATATGCATTTCAATGTTTTAGAATGGAGAAAAGGCACCCAAGAGCTGTGAAACAATCAACTTAGAAGTCCATGGCAAGTGGGACATGGCAGTCTGGGCTGCTTTTGGATCTCAGCAGAAAAAGATCTGGACTGAGGTTTCCCAGCCTCGCCTCAACATGCAGCTAGACAAGTTTTATACTAGATACTCTGTTATGCATTCAGCCATAAGGCCAATTTGAACCTGGACAGACAACCTATGACTCTGCCCACCCCGTTCCAGCTCTAGCCCACTTCCAACACATGCTCCTCATAATTCATCACCTGCCGATCAATTTATGTAGATCAGCCATAGACCCATTCCTGTCTCAGAAGTACCAAAGGCTAAGATACATGTATAGGTGCAAGGGGCTTGTTTCTGTACATAAAGTAGATTAAAAGAATCCTCCATGTTGTTCACATTCAGAAGTATCTTGTGGGGTCCCTGAACCAATAGACAATGGATCCATTACTGGCAAAGATTACTTGTTTGGAGATGAAGTTTTTTACACTTGTCATCCGGGATTTGAGCTACAAGGGCCAACACGAAGAATATGCCATGTTAACAAGAAGTGGAGTCCCTCAGCCCCAACATGTGTGAGTAAGTAAACATCACTGCATATGGACAAAGAAAGAAAATTGTTCAAGAAAAATATATAGCACTTTAACCTAACTTCACTGATAACTTATATCTCTCCATGAGTGACTGCCAGAGACACTAGTGCAACAAGGGAAAGGTAAAGTCTGTCCAAATTGGGTTTTACCAGAGTTCTGTCACTGCCCAGAGGGCAGTAGAATTCATTAATAAGAAATAATTTTCATAGCATTACTTGTGTGAAAGCCTTAGTTAGAACAGACTTCTTAAATTTACAGAGACAGGGAATGAAAGAAGTGGGAAATACAGACAAGTCTGAAGGTGGCACTAGGACTACAGTACATTCACAGACAGTTCCATATCATTTCCAGCATATTTCAAGAGAGTGTTATATTCTGTTTTGCCTTTTCTCCCCACAAAATACTTTAGTATATTTTACTCTCATTTATCCCGAGTACCCTTCTAGGGTTTGACTTGAGCTTTCTGTTGGCAGTTCAGAAAAGTAACCAAGAAATCCATCCACTTGTTAATTCCAGGACTTTGTATACCATAAAGTACATGGAATTTCTTTGTCATTCCCACAAATTCACTCTGAAAAAATTAATTACATTTATACTACACTTTTTTAAAAAGAATACATCAGTTCCTCCACCAGAAATCTCATGATCATAACACACATATAGAAGTTCTCTTTAGTGATACTACTAAGATACTTAGGGCTTAACCAGTAACATTAAAAAGGGCTTACATTAGCCCACCTCCATACTTTTAATCAGAGGGTGATATTGGTAGAGTGCCCATTCATTTTTTTTAAAAAAAACCTTTATCTTACAGCATTTTTATCTTAACTGTATTTATTTGAATATATATAATTCACTTTTCAGATCAAAGTAGTTCTCATCATAGAGGATATTAACAAATAAGTATAACATACATTGAAATATGCAAGAGCAGACTGTTATTCATAACATCCATGAGGGAGAATAACATGGAATTCATGAAAGCCTGCTTTAAAACAAAAAAGACTTGTGCAAAACAAAAAAGACATGTATTAAATGGGCTATACATGCACAAAATATAATCGCTTGAAAAATTACTCCCTTTTTTGCTGCTGCTTTGCTTCTCCTGTACAAAAATAGATTTTAAAGTATCAAGTAAATGATAAAGACAGATTATTATTTCTTCTTCTAGGCATAAGATGTGAACCTCCTCCAATGATAGAAAATGCAGTGTCTATAGGCATAGAAAATACATACAGTAGTAACATATCCTTTATATGTAATTTTGGCTATCACCTACTTGGACCTGAGAATATCACCTGCTTGGCCAATGGATCCTGGAGCAAACCCCTTCCATCCTGTGAAGGTGATTGTTGGGTTGTATGTTGTGTTTGTGAATGTTCTTTTTTTTTTTAAGAAACTTTATTAAGGTTTTAAACTACTACTACCAACATCAATCGTCACACACATTGGATTTACTGGGTCAGCACTACTACGTATCTTTTAACATTCTATGATCATACTAAGACCCATTCACAATAACTTGAAAACATCTTTAGATCAGAACCAAGTCCCGTTTCTCAAGCCAATAAAAAATAATAATAATTCCAAATTTGATAGCAATCACTATCTTCCTCTTCTTCATCAGTGAAATCACTCTCATCATTTCTTGCAAAATCCTGTTTCTCTTAACCAATGACAAAGGGAAATCTCCAAGTTAAATAAGATTGCACTATCTTCTTTCTTCTTCAGTGATAAGTACGATCTAAACATTGCTGGACAATTCAAGATCTTTTCAATTTTCTAAAGATAAATAACTTCCTCACTACCACAATTATAAGTAACATCAAAAATATCCATTTAACATCTTTAAAAGTATCTTAACTACTCTGCTTGGTGGTAACTAATATTTATTATATCTTTTTAAACCAATTTTCGTCACCAACAACAATAGCTTAACCTTCTCATATCAGATATAGACTTATCATTTAAATCATTGCTTTTTAAAATAAGTTCCCTTATTTTCAATTACAGATAAAGTCAGAGATATCCATTTAACAATAATGCCTTTTAGACAGGATTTCATTAAGCTAAGTTACTAATGTTTCACCAGCAATAATAGCTTTTCTGCATCACATGTGGGCATACCAACCTATATGAATCACCTCTTTCTGGAATAAAAAAAAGAAGGTTCCCTTATCCTCCCTTTGCATCTCTGCCATATTTATTTTCCCTTTTTCTTTACAGCTCTACCAGACCTTTCTGGGTTTTTTTTCATTGAAACATCGTAATATCTGTGATGGAATCTTCCATTGTAGCCACATAAACAAAACCTCTCTTAAGTGGTTAGCTATTTTCTCTTTCTCTAACAACACACAAATCCCATGAAAGCTTGCTCATTAAGTTCACTGTTTGTGTTAGTTTTTCCGCTCAGCCCACCGGTAAACTCTTGAGTTGTTGCCAAGCTATCTTCTCCATCTCAAGCATAACAAGCAGATTCCATGAAGGCTTACTTGATAAGTCCACTGGTTGTATTGATTTTCCCATTACGCTTGTTGTCTTTCCAGTTTCAGATTTTCCTTCTACTTGCTGGATATTTTGTATATTCTGCTTCGGTACAGATAGCTTGCCCAAAGCCTGATTAATGGTAGTGTCCACTTTATCAAAGCGACGTTTTTGTTCAATTAAAAAACAATCAAGTTGCTCAGTTAAAACAGTCTTCTATTGTATTATCATTGCCTGCTGAGATAATTGCACAGCTGTTAAAGAAATCTGTATTGCCGAGAGTGTCTTCTGTATTGCTTGTATTTCTTCCATAGTAGCAGTAAATACCAAGGCTTGGCAGATGTCCAGGGATTCCAGGAACAAAGAGAAAGATAGTCGTCAGTTCTTGGCTATCTTCTTGGCTATCCAACATAGATGAACACAAGAAAAGTCTTTTTATCAGTCAGTTCCACGGTAGATTATTAAATTTTTCACCCTTGGAGAGATTAATGAAGATAACTCTTTTCCTTACTTACAAAGAGCTCTTTCTCTCTCTTCTTATGTAATTCACCACTTTTCAACTCCGTGGGGGGCGGGATTCCTTTCCTCCTCCATCCAAAGGGCTTTTTCTTTTTTTTCTGTACCAATTTGCAAAGAATGCAGCTTATTCCACGGATATTATTGCAAAAAACAAGAAACAAAAATAATTCCCAGTAATTTCGATGTGCTTATAATAGCTAAAACTAGTCTACAAGAAAAAAAACGATATGTCGAGAACTTGCAGAGGGCTTTCCTCCCTCCTGTACTACCCGGCTGAGAAAGCTTGATTTCGCCCATTAAATGTGGAATTGCCATTCCACACCACCTGGGAAATTCACCAAGCAATCTATCTTAGCCCCGACAGGGCTTAGATTGAGCCCCATGGCCCACCACCGGGCAGTTACCAGCTTGATAACGGAGGGTCGTTAATCACGTCTGTATTGTTCCGATGCCATACCGGAAGTCCTCGTGAATGTTCTATTAGTTTTCTTCTGGGTGAGGTCACCAAGACTTTGGTTCTCTGAGTTAACACAAGTCCTTTTATTCCAAACTAGTGAAGTATCCCTTTCCATAGTATCTCTGTAAAAACCCACATCTATGAAGGAAGGAATGGGTATTTGGAGAGGTATTGGAGAGAGCCTTGATAGACAAGGGTACCCTCCAGTAGCTCTAGATCCACAGTTGGCAACCTTTTGAGAAACTGTCCTGACTGGTGACCTGTCAGAATGGGTAAGGAAGTTGACAGAGGCATTGATGGGAAATAAAAATGGCAGCTAGCATTTCCTATTTCACTTCGCTGCCTGGAAAAAAAAGAAAAGAAAAGTTGTATTTAAACAAAAATTGGAAGAAGTTCAGGATGTTGGTAGTCAACAAAAAGAGTGACTAAAGGCATATTGGGAGCCACAGTGGTGTGGTGGTTCTTATGTGAGACTGGCCATTAAACTGGCTCTCAGCCTAACCCACTTCACTGTGCCATCGTTGTGAGGATAAAATGAAGCTATGCAAGCCACTTGGGCTGCTCACGAGAGGGAAAAGCAGGATATAAATGCAATGTGGTGGTGATGTCGGTGATGCCCTCAGCCACCAAGCCGCCCACATCTGCTCTAGGTCTTTGAAACATTCTCTGGAAATTTCATTCACTCAGAAGAATCACACACACGCACGTCTTTTTCATGATCCTGTTGTCATGGTTGTTCTTATTGCTGATTATGAAGTAACAGTTTTAATTAGCATGCCACTTCTTTAGAAACCAGATGTGAAGAGCTGGAATTTATTGAGAATGGGAATGCTGTCTATGAAAACAGCACGGTTGGCAGCAGAGTCGCCTATTATTGCAACCGAGGGTACAGCTTGGAGGGGGAGCCTATTGCTGAGTGCACAGAAGCTGGAACTTGGAGCCACCCATCCCCTCTGTGCAAACGTAAGTTCCCGTTTAAGCATGGGGTTTGGCTTTACTTTAAACCATCCAAAAGCTGGGTTCTGCTTTTTCACAAAGTAAGTCTCATTCAATTCAGAGTAAGCATGTTCCCGTCACTGACGTTTACCTAGGTTTACCAGCATAAATAAGGGGGAGGGACAGGGATAGAAACTGATCTATCCCTGCATTGTCATTTAATGCAGTCCCTTTAGAGGGCTATACCACTTTAGGTAGGTAGGTAGGTAGGTAGGTAGGTTTTATTGCAGTCAAACACTAGCTCCTTTCAATTAGTACACAGATTTAAAAAGGAAATACATAAAACATTATCTATATTAAAACCCCACTTGGATTAATAAATACTTCAACACAATATCAGTCATCTTAAATCGGTGACAATCCCAGACTTTGTCCTTGTCCAACTAGGAAGAGTCATAATCCCCCAGGATCTGTCTTCGGACACGCATCGCGGCCGCGAAGAATTTAGCGACACTCTATGTTATTGTTGGGTTAGTGTCAGACAGCAATATATAAATATATTGTTGTTCCATACAGCCTGGGAAGCGCTTCATCAGTGGGGAGGTGAGTGCAGTGCGAATATCCCTGTAGAAGGTGCACCTCAGCAGGACGTGCTCTGTGGTTTCTGTCTGTTCCATCCCACAGGGGCAAAGGCACTCTGACCAGGGAATCTTTTTGTACCGTCCCTCCAAAACTGCTGAGGGGAGTCCATTAAGGCTAGCCAAGGAAAAAGCCCTCCTGTGTTTATGCAGTTCCAACCGTTTGAGATAGGCTGCAGCTATTACAATGTGGCCATAGTCCTCCCTAAGATAGAATTCTGTCTATTGAGATCGCTTTGTCTTTCAGTATCTGCAATGCGCTGCTTGATGGTTTCCGTTCCCTGTTCAAAACCCATATTTAGTACAGTCCGCAGGGGGCGGCCCAGTAGGGCTATTTTCTACTCAATTTATTTAATCCAGTTGGATTTGAAATTGTCTTGCATGACTAGTGGAGCAAGGCCAACTGGAAAGTATACCAATCAGAGCCAGTGCGCAAGAATGGCCCCCCAGATCCTAGCTTCAGTTTGGCACTGACCAGACTCCAGTCTTATCTCTGCATTGGAGACATCCCTAGGAACACCCAGTATTGCCCTCAGAAATTCTGATTGGACACGTTGTAGTACTTGGGTGTTCGGGAAAGGCACCAATTGAGATCCATACAGTAGTTGAGATAGTACTTTTGCTTGGTATAGTTGGAGGGCTAGGGGGATGTAATGGCCACCTTTGGAACCCATGAATTGTATTATGGCTCATGAGCTTCTCTGAGTGTTTAATGCCACATAGCCATGTGCCTTCCTGGAGCCATTTGCTTGTAGGACTACACCTAAACATTTGAACTGGGAAACCTGCTCATTCTTGTGCTGATTTAGCTTCCATGATTGAGTTTTTGGTCCTTTTGCAAAGGTCATAATTTTTGTTTTTTGATAATTGATTGTCATATCTTCTTCCTTGCAAAATTCAGTCAGCTTCTGCAGTGCTCTTGTGAGCCCAATTGGAGTCCTTGAAATAATAGCTGCACCATCTGCATATGGTAGTATAGTTATATGCCTCTGTACGATATTGGGGGGGGGGGTGAAAATCAGTGTGATTTAACTGGTCAACCAATGAGTTGATACAAAAATTGAACAGGAGTGGAGCAAGAACACAGCCTTGCTTAACCCCTTTTTGTGTTGGAACAGCATTTGTGAGGTGATCATGTGCACTTGAGGGAGGTGCCTCTGTATAGGGTCTGAATAAGTAGGAGTAGGTGCCTATCAGTGTTGAAGGCCTCTAATTTTTTCCATAGTTTAACCCTCGGGATGGCATTGAAAGCTGCCTTGACGTCTATAAAGGCTGAGTAGAGCGAGGTAACTTTGTGAGATGTATTTCTCAGTGAGGTGCTGTAGCACCAAGCATTGATGTATGGTAGAGCGACCCTCCCTGAAAGTTTATACCACTTTAAAGAAAGCATATTTCAGTTTACTCCAGGGGTTGGAGTTAAGTGCTCAGAGCAGCCATCAATATGCATGCTCTGTTACGCTTCGGTCTATACCTAACTCCATACACTGTTCATACCTAGAGTTCCTGACCATGGTAGCATGAGCTTTCTATAATGGTCATTCATTTCTACTTAGGAAAGGCCAAGTGCTTGCATATCTTCTCTCTGAGTCAATGCATGGTATTAATCCATCAGTATTTGTCATGGTTACTTCTGCTGGGCTCAAGAGGGCAGCAAAGGAACTTTAAGGCCAACTATGCTTGTAGAGCAAATGGCGCATAATGTAAATGATCCATGATCAGATCTCCCAAAGTCTTTTGGAAAGGTTACTAAGTCAGTAAAGAATAGACTCAAGATAGTGATTCAGATGTAGGGATTTTTAGATCTTTATCATATGTAGGTTGTGGTTTTATCTATTTATTTTAATCAGAAGTTGAACGCTACTTGGAAACAGCACTTCAAACCTGAGCCACCAGGCTATGGATTCGAATCAGTAGGTAGGAACATATCTCACTAGTATTGAAAAGAGTGCACTGTTTCCAAGCCAGTGCTGCTTACCTTTAAAGCCCTACACAGAGTAGGACCCAGGTTCCTAAAAAAACCTGACTGACAACTATTGAGACCATCTTTAGACATTTTCCATGAGCCCCCATTTTCTGAGTTAAAGCAGTTGGTAAGCAGGAGTTCCTTCTTAGCTTTAGCTTAGCTTCTTAGCTTAACTTTGTTCGTGGAATTCTTTCTGCAGAAGGGCCTGCCTGGTGCTAAGCCATTTTAAAAATTTAATGTGCTTTAGGTCTAAACACATTGCTATATTTTGTTTGTATGTTTGTCCTGTTTTTCTAAACTGCCCTGAAACTCAGTGGAAAAAAGACAAGCGCAATACTGCAGCCTGTTCTCTTTTCCCCAGTAAGACTAATGGCTGCTTTGGCTGGGGGTGATTTATCTCAGAAGAAATGGCACTGGGGAAAAAGAAAGGGTCACATTGTAAGCACTGAAAAGCAGTGAAGCTGATTTTCAAGCATTAAAGACGTTTTAGGGTTTATGATGCCAAATCTTCCTGCACAGCATTTCATTGGACCTGGGTTACAAGAGCAAAAGGTGGATTCTGTGTAACCGCTCCCATTCGCAGGCGAAGGCAGATAACTTTTTTCTGGATTGTAAATGGATAAGCTGAACATTGAGACTCAGTTGGTCAGGGAAGGGGAGTTTTAAAAAAGGGGTGATGATTTGATAATGGTGTACCATATGGCACATCCATTTCATAACCTAATGCTTAGCCACACCTTTGTTCTACCCTAATCTGTAAGATTTATACTGTAAATACTGTAAAGCTGACTTTAATATCTCTCCTGCTGCAAAAAGATTGCAGGTAATAAGACTAAATTAAATTGAAAATGTTATGTCTCTTTAATAACATCTATACTTCAAATCATATGATTTAGCTAAGGAGCAAATCATGTGGATTTCCCCAAACAGCATACAACTGTTCTTTTACAACCTAACTTTTACTCCTTTCTTGCTCCTAAACAGCGAATCCATGTCCTGTGCCTTTTATAATCCCAGAAAATGCCCTCCTATCAGAGACAAGTTTTTATGTTGGACAAAAAGTATTCATCAAGTGCAGAGAGGGGTACCAACTTCGGGGGCAGTCTGTCATTACCTGCAATCCTGATGAGGCATGGACTCCAACTCAGGCTAAATGTGAAAGTAAGTATAGCAATAAAACATTTCTTTCTTTCCTCCCTCCCTCCCTCCCTCTCCCTCCCTGAAAATGGGTTTAATACCAAACTTACCTTTCTAGTGAAGTTGGAAACAAAATCAATTAAACAAGCAATGCTATGCATGTATAGAGAGGAGAAAAAACGCTGTACAGTAGCAGCTAACTGGACAAAGCTGATTGTTGTAGGACTTTTTTTGTCTAAACATGTATAGGATTGCATAGTAGGAAAAAATTTTTTTGTTAATTGCCGTAGATTCATACAAAGAAGTGCTTCTTATTTTTGATGATGGATATTATTAGTGAACTTGGGTAGCGATGCCTTGAAATGATATCTGGCTTTCTGCTTGGGAAAGTTTAGTTTTACATCAGGAAATGATGCATGTAAAACAGTTGTTTGTTTGCCTGTTGCTGGGATTCGTATCCTGTCTTGATTTCCAAAGGGGCAACAGGCTTTGTAGTCTGTTACAGCAAAAATGACAAAGGATATTGTGTCACATTGCAAATATATTCCTGGATAAGTGTTTGTGGACACTGCCCTTTTAATCAGATGCCAGATCGTCTCCTTCTTATAGTGGTACAACGGTAAGGAGGGTTTTGGAAACTACAAATGAAGAAGCTGAGTGACACACATGGACCTCAGGCTGGCACTTTTGCTCTTTCCTTGGAACCACATGGTTTGAGATACAAACAGAACTGTTAGCTGTCTCCATTTTTCTTTAGGGCGACTCGCCTTGTTCTAATTCCCTTCCTCTCTCTTTTTTTTGTTTTTTTTTTTTTGTTTTTTTGTTTTTTGTTTGTACAAAACAAGAAGGGGCCGTAGTTTGGAAAGTGCTTAAAGAGGAAACAAAACTCTCTGTTTCCTTAAATACAAGAACATGCCAGGGCGCTTAATATCTGTCAGCCATTGCAGTATATCTGCATACTGTGTCCCGGGTCAAGCTGTGAGGCAGTTTTCTAATTTAACCACAGGTTTGTTATTGTTTCTAATCAGAGATCTCCTGTGGGCCACCTGCTCATGTCGAAAACACTTTGGTCCGTGGAACGTTTTATCAATATGGAGATGTCGTGACCTACTCGTGCTACAGTGGGTACATGCTGGAAGGCTCCCTGAGAAGCGTCTGTTTAGAGAATGGAACCTGGACAACACCACCTGCATGCAAAGGTAAATAGCCATATACTATAACAACAGTGCAAGGAGGCCATTTTGTACAAGTAGCTGTGATATTGTCGTCGTTATCCTCCAAAAGCTTTCCCACAGTTGCAAAAGAAAGATTAATTAACTTCTTCCAGGAAATTACCTTCTAGTTCTTCAAGCCCTTTTATTGACTGGCATCATTTTAGCATACAGAATTGCCTGCATGCCAATACCACTGCTTAAATAAGAAACAGCATTAATACTTTGGCCCCATAGTTTTGTCCAGGCGTGCAGCTTTGAAAGTGTTATCCTGTTTTCTGAAACCAGACAAGCTAAAGCACGGGTGTTGAACCTCTTCCAGCCCAAGGGCCAAATTCACCAGTAATACCAGCATGTCTTACCTTAAAGCTCTCACTCCTTGTTATTAAGCTCTAGGAGTGGCATTGCAGCCTTCTAGAATGATGAAGAAACCATGCAAGAGCTGGGAAACCATCAAAAGATCAGCAGTTGCAGGAAAGTGGGTGGCGTCCAGATGAAGTTGAGGAAACCCAGTGGCCCATAGACCTGACGTTCAACACCCAAGACCTAAAGCCTATCCCAAAATGTGGCATTCCTTATTCCCCACCCCAATCCCACATTAACCCACTGCCTAGTAGTCCAGCAAGAAAACCAGGGGCAGTATAGATTAATGACTTCTTTTTTGTTTAACTCTCATAGAGTGTTGAAAGACAGGAAGATAGATTGGGGTGGGGGGCTGAATGCACAGGTTGTGTATCTATAGAATTCCCTTGGCAAGTTTGTTCACTTTGTTCATTTTAGCTTGTTTTGTTCATTTTAGTTCGTTGTCTTTCACATTCTCTTTTGCATACTTGTTCATGTTAAGAAAATAATAGAAAAGAAAAAGAAAACCAGGGGCAGGAACCAGCCTGCTGTCTTGTGACGCAGATAAAGTTGGATGGAGGGAAAGTAGAAGGTATGGGACTGCTGCAAGTCCAAGTGAGCATGAGAGCTGCAGATCTGACGCCACCCCTGTGTCTCATTGAACACAAGATGACACATGAGGTGATGCTACGATGAGGTGCTCCACTCCTGTTGTGCGAAGCAGTCAACACATGTTGTGACCATTGCACCCTTTCTCTTCAGTGGGGAAGAGGGGATGAAGACTCGTGGAGGAGCGGCAGCAACTTCATATCTCTCCTAACAACCAATAAAACTTCATTCTCTCCCAGCTTTGTATCAGAACAGGTCAAAAAAATCACCATTCCACCCCAGGTCAAGGGTTCTTAAACATTTTGAGCTTGGAGCCCCCCTTCTAAATGTGTACCATCTTCCAGGCCTGCTTTCCAGCTCTCTTACTCTGTTCTGTTTTCAAAGAGAGATGAAATTACCACCCACTGGGTATCTTCCAGCAACAGTTTCTCTCCCAGCTGGAAACACCAGGGTTGTCCTGTGACCGTCATCTTCTTCCCCAGTGCACATCAAATGTTCTCCTGGCCAAAGAACCAGCATCTGTAGGAAAGAAATTGTTGAACTCATTGTTTTTGGCATACAGTGTTGTACATTTGACAGAAGCACACTCTGCAGTGTGTTCTTGAGGAGCATATGGAATCATACATCCCCAGTACAACAGAAATACATTATAATCTGGAACTCTACAATCCATCAAATATTGCATGCTATTAATTCTCGTTTTCCTGCTGCAAAGTGGGTAATAGAAAAATAAGACCAAAGGCTTGAGTGGCAGAAAGGGCCTGTGTTCTTTTAATTCATGGCAGTATTTTTTTCAGAAGTATATTATAAATAATGCGGTCTATTTGCCTCACAAAAGACCTCCAGTGCTTAAGCCTTTGAAGGGCCTACTTCAAAAGAAGCATGAAAGCAGCAAGTATCAATGACTCACACGAATCATGTAATCCTTTAGCACCCAATAGCATTTTTTTTAAAGGCCCAGGTCTGCCAAAATAATCAAACCCACTTGATGATGTTAGGTTATCCTTGGGTGTTACCATTACAAGAGTCACATTTGTTCCTAAATATGACTGCTGTAATCTGGAATTATTTCTGATGGAAGTCTGAATGCCAAGGACTGGCCTCTATTCAACCCAATACAAGTTTTCTATAGTCATGACAAGTAAGACTTAGGACATCCTCCAAGAGGGATTAGGCTGGACTGGAACCACCTCTCTTTGTGAGCATTTTGGGGATGGGGCAGAGCCAGCACATCCCTGTCATTCTTCAAAATGGTCTCCAAATCTGACTTCTCACCTGTGCAAGCCTGAAACGGGTGTAGGTATTTTCCTTCCTGTTGAAATTTGCAAAGACATTCAAAAATATAACCCTGCCACACATGCACACCTACCTTGCCTGATTAGTCTGATACACGTAAGAATCTGAGTAAGGTGCATGCACATGCACACACACACACACACCGCCCCCAGTTGTGGAACAAGAACAAACTTGGTGCAGAATGCATTTTTAAGACTAAAAATGCCGATGTTCCGCATACTTCATTGTAGACAGGGGGAAAGAATTGGCTAGTTTTTGGAGTTACACAATATTGCCAGTACTGCTGATGATAAATTGCTGTGCCATGCACACTTTTTTAAAGTAAGGAACAGTTTGTTTTGGCACCCGTGTCAGTGACTGTTCTGCAAAACTGGCTGAAAATGACTGGAATTAGTTACATCCGCCACAGGGTGCCTGCACATACACTTACGCTTCGGCAGATCTGGACCTAAGGTGTGGGCTGGCTTGTCCTAATCAATCCAAGCACTTTGGCTACCTTTTAACATTTACAGCAGCTTCCAAAATTACAGGCTGGTAGTGTTATTCCCGTATGCAGTTTGAGGGAACAGGCTAATATGGTAACTTGACACTGATTAAACTCAATGGTTAGGGACAAAATTTTAATTGTGTACTTCCTGATTATTTGAAATCCCTAAACTATGCCACACATAATCCTTACACACAAGGATAGTTACATTTACTTTTGCTTTTAAGCCTTCGATGGCCAGGAATACTTTAAATATATATTCAGTTCTGTAGCAAAATGTATGTTTAACTACCCCATGCTCTGTTTCCCTTTCCAGCTGTTTGTCGGTTCCCTTGCCAGAATGGGGGTGTCTGTGAGCGGCCAAATGCATGCTCTTGCCCAGAAGGCTGGATGGGGCGTCTGTGTGAAGAGCGTATGTACCTTTTGTTTATACTTGTTTCTCTGAGGCATTCTGAGTGACAGTAAGACTCTTGAGAGGTGAGTTAAGCTGACAGAGAAACGAAGAGAGGCAGCCAGGATGTTGGGCATGAATTCTCATAGAAGAAGACTCTTTACCATTCCACACTGGCTTTCTCACTTGAACTCTACTAAGTATACTGAGCAAAGTACAGAGTCAAAAATAATTTGAGGAAGAAGTAATTTGGCTAAATCGAAAGTTACTGAGATGAAAAAGCTGGCTGAGAAACCTGACTTGTGTATGTAGGGTTCAACCCGGAGCTTGTAGCGTTTGCATCTTTCATGCAGGAAGGAAGTAGGAACTGACTACTGCTATTTATCTGAGACCTGTTTGGATGTTTACCATCGTGCAGTTAAAATTAGAGAGGAAGGAGAGAGACAGCCCAGAAATTAGGAGGAGTCATCTTCCAATGCCAGGTTTTGATCCCATAACGAAGTATCCTATGTATTGCCACTTTCTGCTAGCCCCAGTACTGATGAGCAGTCTGTACATTAATAGTAATCTAGCTTAATAATTATCTCTCTCTAACAGAAGACTTAATCTTTTATCTCTAGGGCTGTCCTATGCACATTTACCTGGGAGCACCACTGCACCCAAAGGATTATGCTTTAATCATAGAAAATGTAATCAGATTCGTTCCTTGTTTCATGAGGAGGCAGATGGAGGAGTTATTCTCCAGTGTCACCCAGAGCAAGCCAGGGGCCATTTTACCTGGCTCTTTCCTAGTCTCTGCATCCTGGTTCTTCCTCTCCAGTCTGCTTCCTACCTTCACCCAGGGCAGAGCTTTCCTTCGTTACTCTTCTGATCACTTGGTAGAGCTTTGCGGTTTCTGTTATTCCTTTCATCATTCTTTTCTGAGTCATTATTCTGTTCTACACACACACTACTTTTTCATCTTTTCTGTCTTTTTCCTCATCCTTTCCTGGCCCTATGTGAGCAAGAGAAGCAAAGAGGGTGGTTGGCAATAAGGGCCAGGATGACTTAAAGCAAGTCAGAGCCCTTGCTGTGGCAGCTGGGGCACTTCCTGATGATTCCAAAATTCCTTAAGACCACCAAGGGGAAGCCTCCGTTGCCTGCAAAGCTTTGCCGTCTTCTGCAGGGGATGCGGGCAGTCCTCCTTTTCTCTCAAGAGCATGTGCTGTCCCTCTGCCATTTTAAATCTCAGTTGTAGAATACAGTGGATTTGGATGTGTAGACACCCATCTGTTATGGCAAACTTCAAGTTTGTTTGTTTGTTTATAACATTTTTATGCCTCACCCATCGCAGAAAGCCTCGGGGTGGCTTACAAGGCAGATAAAACATAGAATAAGATAACATTAAAAATTTGGAGTATCTCGGCCATATTTAAAACCAATAAATAAGAACAACAAATTAACAATTAAAATATTGTTTAAATAAAAAGGTCTTGGCCTGGTGTCGAAAAACAAATAACAATGGCGCCAGGCGGACCTCTCTGGGGAGCACATTCCATAGATGGGGCGACACCGCAGAGAAAGCCCTCCTCCAGGTACTCACCCTCCTAATATCCTTCACAGAGGGCTCCCGGAAAAGGGCCTTCTCTGCCGATCTTAAAGGGCGGGAGGGCATATATGAATGCAAGCGCTCCTTTAGATAACCACGTCCTAAGCTGTTGAGGGCTTTATAGGTGATAACCAACACCTTGAATTGGGCCCGGACTTCAATGGGGAGCCAGTGAAGCTGACGGAGAACTGGGATTATATGAGAACAACACCCAGTCCCCTTCAGCAACCTGGCAGCTCTATTTTGCACCAATTGAAGTATCCAGACCGTCTTCAAGGGCAGCCCCACGTAGAGTGCGTTACAGAAATCTAATCGGGAAGTGACCAGTGCATGTGTCACAGTTGCCAGGCAGTCATTCTTCAGGTAGGGACTCAGCTGATGGTTCAGCCGAAGCTGAAGGAAGGTGCTCCTCGCCACTGCTGTTACTTGAGCTTCTAATGACAGCCCTGGGTTGAGGAGCACTCCTGCTCATGGAAGTTCAAGTTCCTGCTCATGGAAGTCATAAAGGGACCTCATAATGTCCACAGAAGGGGAAGTGAATGATGCAGGCAGTGCTAGGTAGAACCCTGCATCTTCCCTCCTTTTTCATTCTGACAGTCCTTTCCCAGGACTGCCACCTGTGTTGGCCACTAGAGGGCGCAAGTTCTTTTCGTTCCACATCTATGGCTCTGAAGCTCTTTAACTCTACCCTGCCCCTTTGGATTAAGGCGTGTTTCTACTCTTCCTATGACTAAGCCTAGGAGCATCATGGCATACTCCATACGGGGAGTGAGCACTTCTGTAGCTTTCAACCCAAACAGTTCCCTGCCATATAAAGAGCTGCTACTTGATATGTTGTTGTCGTTAGTCGCGAAGTCGTGTCTGACCCTTCGCGACCCCATGGACAACACTCCTCCAGGCCTTCCTGTCTTCCACCATCCCCCGGAGTCCACTTAAGCTCATACCAGCTGCTTCAGTGACTCCATCTAGCCACCTCATCCTCTGCCATCCCCTTCTTCTTTTGCCATCAGTTGTTCCCAGCATTAGGCTCTTCTCCAGGGAGTCCTTCCTTCTTATTAGGTGGCCAAAGTATTTGAGTTGCATCTTCAGTATCTGGCCTTCTAAAGAGCAGTCAGGGTTGATCTCCTCTAGGACTAACCGGTTTGATTGCCTTGCAGTCCAAGGGACTCGCAGGAGTCCCCTCCAGCACCACAGTTCAAAGGCCTCAATCCTTTTGCGCTCAGCCTTACAGTCCAGCTTTCAAAGCCATACATTGCAACTGGGAAAACCATAGCCTTGACTATACGCACTTTTGTTGGCAGGGTGATGTCTCTGCTTTTTAGTATGCTGTCTAGATTTGCCATAGCTTTCCTCC